CGGGGCCAGGGCGGGCGGGCGGTTAGGAGAGCGGTGGGCTGTGTCACTGCTGTGTAGGTTGTGGGCGGTGCTTGGGGGCCTTGCGGCGGCGGTGATGGTACCATACCTAACCTACATCGTGGACGGTAGTGACATTATTGACGGCAATAATGAACGACGACTCACGACCCACGACTCACGACCCAGCCCAGGGGGCGCGCCCGCAGCTCGCTCGGCTCATCTCACGCTCACGCTCGCGTGCGATGGGGGTTCCGGCAGGGGGAGGGCACCCACGGGGGGGGATCATTTGTGGGCTCGGGGTGGCTGTTCAGCGCGCGAGCGCGCGATGCTCGGAGAGCCCGGACGAGGCAGGCCGGAAGGGCTCGGCGTGCCCGGCGTGCCCGGTGTGCCCCGGCGTCCGACTGAGATTGGGATGGCCGATGGGCCCCGGGCTGGGGTGCGTTTTGGGGTTAGAGGGCGATCTCTTGAGGAGGCCGGGTGCGTGGTAGTGTAGTGTACTATATATGTACGTGGTAATGTACAATATTGTACCTAGAGTAGAGTAGTGTAGTGTAGTGCAATACCTGGGTTTGTGATATAGGGTGTCTGTGTGTTGCGATTGACGTGTGCGGTGATCGGCGACGACGAGCGGCAGACGGCGGATGGTGGTTGGCGGTGCTGGTGCTGCTGCGACTGCGATGGACTAAGCGCTTATAGTGGCTGGGGTGCAGCTGTTTGCGGTCACGGGATGTGTGGTGTTCTAGCTCGTGTGTATATAGTGCGAGGGCGGACATTTCGAGCAATAATGTGGTGGGGTTGGCGCGTGTACATATGTAGATAGACGTTGGAGATGAGGCTTGGCTTTTGGTGAAAGATAGTGTGTATCGCTTTGAGAGTTGTGCTATGTATGTATATAGTTCTTTGTTGTTGATTATCTCCTGCCTCTTCGAGACTATATTTCTCACTCAGTCGGAACGGACCAGCGATGGCTTATCTGGTGCTCGTGCTAGTGCTGTGTGTATTTGGATGGAGTGGTTGCTTGACGTGCGGGACCTGAGAGAGGCACGCGTGTGCGAGTAGAATATAAATGGATGCATGAATGGGTAGACATAAAGTTGGATGTACTTACCTACTTCATCTCAATCCACTCACCTACACGGCAGCAAGCAGCGACACTGACGTCCACTCTCATCTCAGCATGTTGCCATGACCGTCGTCATCATTCATGTTCACGTATCCTCTCTATATCCATATTCGCGGTGGTATGTAGGTACAATCCCACATCCAAACAGGGCAAAGACCGACGCCACGGCTTGGCGAGGAGAGAACGCCAAGACCCAAATCCGGCGAGCGGAACGGTGAGGGTTCCGCCGCAGGACGGAGAGGGAGGGGCCCAAAATAAAACCGATGCGGATCTGAGACAAGCCGCGGGATCAAGGATGCTGGAACATCGGGCCGACTAGCGAAGAAAGCGAAGGTCAAGGAGCACTGACTGAGCAGGAAGGTGAAAGGGCGTGCCTGTGCTGCCTGCGTGCTGGCCCGGCGCTTTTGTGTGTGATTGGTTGGACAAGCGAGCTATCAATCATTTTCCTATCGTTTCGTCAGTTGTTGCTGTTTTCCGCCAGGACTGGCAGCCTGACGGGCTGAGACAACGGGCGGGCGGACGGCTTGGGTGATCTGGCGGTGCGGGGCGTCGCGGCTGCATGTCTGAGATTCAGAGATGGCGCGCGGGGCGACGACGCTTCGCTCGCGTCGGGATAGATTGATGAAATGGTTGGCGATCGAATGTGGGTAACACTAAAAGGATAATGATGATGGAGGAGCAGGGTGGCAGGATGGTGGTGACTGGTGAGTGGTGAAGGAAGAGTTGGCGCAGCAAAGGCCGAGCGTCCGGACGTAAGAAAAAGGAAGGAAAGAAAAAATGAAGAATGTCATGGCCGGTCGGGCCACTTGCTCCTTTTAGGGTGTCGCCCGTCTTGACTCGCGAAGGGCCTTCTCCACGCTCTCCCGCGGCCGCCCGCGGATCCCCGGCGGGTTTCCGATCCCAATGCTTTTCGCTTTCCAATGCAGAATGCTTTGCTCTCTGCTGCGCCCCTCCGTTCTCCGTTCTCCGTTCTCCATTTTTTTTTCTTCTCCGAGGCTTTGTACAAACATGGAAACAGCCTTCTGCTGCTGCTGACTAAGAAGAGTGTTTGTCATGTGCTTGTGCCTCCTCTGACATGCGCCGGACACAGCTCCATCCTACGCCCGTAACTAACGGGGTTGCCATCGCGTAAGAAACATGCTCGATCCCTCGGTGACTACTAAGCGATCGTGGTCTATTATTCAGAGTGTCAGTGTCAAGCGTTGTCACCCTGCCATGCGATCATCCTCTCCCCTGCATGTCAAGGCCTGAAGCTCACCCTGCTCTACTTTATGCCCCATATCAAACACCCTGGCCCATATCTCCATATAATATGTACAGTAATGACACAGGCGGCATTGCCTACATTCACACGACTTCAAACAACACAGCCTCCCCCTCAACCACAGTCTTTTCCCCATCATCGGCCGCTCCCGACGCGCGTCGGCAAACAGCGCGGCAACGGCGCACGCAACGGCGGCACGAGCGCCTCGCTCGCGCCTCTCCCAAAAATCCTTCGCCCAGGGTCAAGGGCCGCAAAGAATGACGCCCTTAGTCCAGCGAGCTAATCCGTAGTCAGCAGCCACACGGCCGCGGCGGGGACAGGGGGAGTGCCGGCGCATCAACAACATCTGCCGAAACGAACATGGGATCTCCCCTCCCCCCCTGTTCTCTCTCTGAGATGAAATCCTCCCTGCACTGCCCATCGGGGTGCCTGAGTGACATATGCCATGCCGCCAAATCAAGCATCAATTCCCACGCGTCGACATGCCTGTTCAAGTGCCTGTCTCGTCGCGGCTCTGCGCGCGCCGCACCGGCTCGCTCATCATGCCATATGGGTTTGCATGGGTATTGCTGCCATGCGACCTTCCTTCCATGTCTCTTCCATTCTGTTGCTGCTGCACCGCAGCATCGCAGCAGCGCATCCACTCATCCATCCACCCTTCCATCCGGTCATCCATCCATCCATCCATCCGCCCACGCACCCATTCCATCCGTTCGCCTGGCAAACGGTACCCGTGCCGGTTCGGCAGCACCGCCAGGACCAGCAGCAGCGATCACTTACCCACCTGCGTAGCAGGACATCGCTAATGCGCTAGTCGCATCTCCACGCCCATCAAAACTGCCGGCACCGGTAGCAGTAGTAGTTCCTGTGCGCGCACACGTCTGTTAAGTAAACATCAATGGCACTACAGAGTGACCGACCCTAGTAGCGAAGCCCAGAGCAGCTAGAAGCACCTAACAATAAAACAAAGCGCACGCCAGCCGTGGCGTCATCATAGCGCCCTTCCTCCCCGCTACAACTAACCGGGAGCATGCTAGATCTGGCTGTTGCGCTTTCTAGCGCAGAGCACTGGAAGTAGACTTAACTTTTTTTCTGCCCTTGGCTCTGCACCCATCTGTCCATTATTATTGGGGTCGTTGGCAATAATGAACTCTGACGTTGCCATTACTCTTGGGACTCGCCGTGACTTTCCTCTTTCGCGCGCGTGCAGCGCTGCCGTTACGTTTCTTTCGTGACCTTAATCATTCGGCGCTGGGAGTAGTCATCCTCCCGCATCGCATCGCAGTGCATCGCATCGTGCAAGCATACATACATACATACAAGCGTGCTCCCGCGCTGCCGTCTTACAAACACACGGTAGCATGCACACGCCTCCTCCGAAGTAGAGTAGCAATAGCGTACCTAGGCCGCGCTGCAGCATCGTGCCCGAACACCACAGCATCACCATGACTAACCCCTCCTCTCCCTTAGCTAATACGGCAGCAACAGGCTCTGGCCTGCCTGTGGCGGGCGCACCTACCTACCCAGCCAGCACCTAGGTAGCACCTAGTGCAGCAGCCTCCTGCCCTACAAATCCACCCAGCACACCGCGTGCAGCGCACACCCACGCACGCACGTGGAGCCGCTTCCAGAGCTTCCAGAACATTCGCGCCTAGGCGGTCCCGTTCCCCCTCGTCTCGTCTTTGAACTCCATTCCTCACGTAAAATATGGCATGATGATTGATGGTCGAGAACCCACGACAGCAACACCATCATCCGTGTACTCGGTCTGATGGACCGCGGTGTGCTGGCTTGGCCCTGTCCCTGCACACGCGCGCGCTGCTGGACGCTGCTGCGTAGGGAGGTAGGTAGCTAGGTGGCTCGCCTCTTGCCTCGAGACTACTAGGCACATAGCAACCGATGCGATGGATGGACAAGCGGGCAGCGAGCAGCGAGCAACAAGCGGGCAAGCAGGCGTCGGTGTCGGTGTCGGAGCCAAAGCCAGTCGCGCGCGGTGCGGCCGAGCCTTGGAGCAGCCACCCATGGCACGAAGGCACAAACGCAAACACAAACGCACGCACACACTCCCACACCGACCGCACCCACGTTTCTGCGCACCGCCGAACCGAACGGGAGGGGCAAGCAAAGGGCAAGCAAAGGGCAAAGGGGAGGGAGGCAGAGCGGTCAATCGGCCATCTTGCGGAGCGGCTTAGGGCTGGCTGTCCCCTCCCATCCACATCCATCCATCATGACACAACGCAAACGCCCGTTCACGGTTCACGCAGCAGTAGCACGCACGCAGGGACCCGCCCACGGCCGCACTGCTCCAGTGCTCGCACACCTGCTATCGTTCGTTCGTTCATTCGTTCGTTCGTTCGTTTTCGCTCATTTCGCGCGCTCGCGCGAGCGCACCGAAGCTCGCACGTGTGTGCGCTCTCTCGTCTGTCGCGGAGTAAAACGTCAAGGAGCGAAGGAAGGGGACCATGCGTGTCCGGGCGGCGTGCGTAGGTGAGTGAGGCTCTTACGCTCGGACGCCGGCGCGTGAGGGGTTGCGCTTGCGCGCGGTGGGTGCGTGGGGTGGCGCCACGCAGGGCGGGCACGAAGGCCATGGTGCGGCGTTGGCGAGATGTCGAGGACGAGGGGCCCGGTAGGGCGAGGGACTGACAGAGAGAGAACGTGTGAGAGAGTGCGTGCCTGTGTCTGTGTGCGTGTGTGTGCGTGCGTGCCCGCAAGGCCACCTTGACTTCGTTTCTCGTCCTTTTGACATCTCCGATCTGTGGAAAGTAGAGTACTGAACTGCAATTATACCGTGGTCCTGCTTTCATCTCCGCATGTTTTGATTTGAATCCATTCTTGTTTGTTTGCTTGATGGCTAGCTACTAGATAGTAGGTAAATATTGCGCTAAATGTTTTTTTTTTTTTTATCTTAAGATCTTCAGAGAAACAAATTGGTACTAATGGTGATCGACGCACCGCAAGATACGATGCGTCTGAGTACGAGATATAGTGGTAAAGGTGGGTAGGGTAGATGGATGGGTGGGTAAAGAAGAAGAACTCTCTCAGCAATCCTCCCCGCCATGGCGCCGCAGCTATGCAAATCCAAAACGAAAAAAACAAGAATCGAATCGAAGAACAAAAGGTGAGTGGCGGACCCCGCGCGCTTGTCTGCCCACTCAATCCCCTCCCATTTCCCCCTCTTCTCCCTCCCCTCACTCCTTCCGAGACACCCCAGCTGATCCACAGGCCATCCATGGGGAACCCTGCGTCGTGCTTGACAGCGGATGCCCGCCCGTGCCACTTCCCATGTGCTGTCGCTCCATGGGAAATGAGACGTCCTTGCGGGAGCGCCGAAGCGTCGTGGGGACGTCGACGCTGCTGCTGCTGATGATGATGATGCCGGTACTGTTGCTGCTGCTGCGGCGGCGGCGGCGGCTGGTCTCGTCTGGACGACTTGCGCGCCAGCGGAAGACCAAAGAAAAAATGCCAAACGATGCAATTTATGCAGCATGTCGTAATGTCGTGAATGCGGGTATGCAAATGCGCGCTCTCTCTATGCGAGTCGAAGAAGATGTGGAAGTTAAGGCCATCGCAGCATTGCGGCGTGCGAGTGCATTGTCGAGTCCCCGTGAGTGTATATGTTGTGGTGTGGCCGCCGGCGGCGGTGCTAATGACGCATGCATGCTCGTTAACGCGAGACTACATGCCGTCATCGCGACTTTTGCCCTTGAACGTCGGGTCGTCGTACGAGGACTGGTATTGATGTTGTTGTTGATGGTGGTGCTGAGACTGATCCCTGGAAGACGATTGCGATTCAGCCTCGATCCTTGTTTAAGTCCATACCGTCGGAGGAGTGGTGGCCACGAACCCGCCGGAGTACCCAAGCCCCATCCCGCCAAAATTGAACATGTTGTCGTCTTGCGTGTAGCCGAGCGGAGGCGCCGCTGGCGATCCGAGCGGCGACGAGTAGGCGCTGTTCGAGCGGTAGTCGATCGCTGAGCGGGGCACCTCCAAATATGGTGACCTCAGCTCCGGCATCAGCCCAGAGGGCAGGATGTGCAGCGGCGACGGGGCAAATGCAGGGCTGAGGCTCTGGCCGTATCCGTACTCTTGGATCTGATTTTCAAGATCCAGGTTCAGCGTCTCCAGGCCGTATGGGCTGTGTTGCAGGTGCTGCATGTCATCCGTTTGCTGGCGCGACCAATCACGGCGGGTGCGGTAGGACGTCGCGGCTTCGCGCGGGAAGTCCATCAGGTATACCGCAGTCTGCACGGCTTGCGAGTAGCCCTGCGTTGCCTGCAATGTGTCCATGTACCGGTTGATCTCCTCCAGCGGCAGCAACGCGTTATCGGCGCAAAAAGACGCGCCAATATCGGGGAAGATGGGCTCGATGGCAACCGCGACGGCGTAAAAGTACGAGAGCACGACCAAGACGTTCAGATCACCGCTTCGAGCCGAAAGTAGCGAGATGGGCACCCAGAAGAGCCATTTACGGAGCGCGTAAAGCTGTGTGAACTGTTCCTCCGGCGTCTGCGGCGGACTCGATAACCTCAGCCGTTCTATGTAGCCCTTGAGCTGCTCCAGCCACTTCCTCTCCTGCTCGTAATGCGCCAGGTGGGGTTGCATCTGCAGCCGCTGAATGGAGCCGTGGACGAGTTGCAGGGTCGAGAGGTGTTCGCGGCGCGCATCTGGTGTCATGAAGGAGCCGGCCGAATTGGTGAAGTTCTGCGAAAAGGTCGATCCGTGTTCCGCGATGCAATCCGCAAACGCTGATTCATGTCTCCAGGGTTGCATGGCGTTGACGATCTGCACGGCAAGTCAGTTTTCGCAACTCAACAAGTCGACTCGCACCGGGGAAGGCCAACCGTCTTGATGCCTGTCATGAGAGACGCCCATCCTCGCCTGAAACAGATCGTCAGCGCTAAAATCTAGGCCGGGGCCGGCCGTCAAACGTACCATTCCGTGGCTTGCCATGACAGCAGCAGCGAAGACGCGAGGACCGCATCCGAATTTGCCCTGGAGAAGTTGCCGATGGCCTCATGCAGCCCCTTCAGCGCGATGCCACCATGGTGAAAGGCGAGGTTTCGCGTCTCGGTCGACTGCGATATCCAGGCCAGATGCGACGCGGAGAAGGCCAGGATGGAGTGCATGACGAAGGGATAGGAGGAGGCGATGCTCAAGAACCTGCCGAGTCTGTCAGTCGCTGCACAGGCGAATACGAAGCTGCCCCAGCCACTTGCGAAAAAAAAAAAAAAAAATTGGCCCACTCACTTCGGCATATTTTCCGACCAGACGGTCAACTTGCAGGTGTTGGCACGAAACGTCTCATTGGAAATTGAGGACAAATGGTGAATGAGGCGCAGGTCCGTCTTCGAGTAGAGGTGCCATTGCGGATGGGGGTAGACATTCAGCTCGGGGAAAGGGAACTCGCCGGTCTGGCGCCAATTCTCGATTGTGGCCTCAATCTCCGAGGTCCAGAGGAGGTTTGGTTGTTGGGGGCCCTTGGGGCTGTCCGGAGCAGCTGAGGCGGGGCTATCGTTGTAGTCACAGCGGACTTGGTGCTTGGTGCAGTTGCGGCTGAGGGCGACAAAGTCAGCAGGAGCGACGCGGATGGGAAGTTGCACCCCGCACGTGGGGGTTCATGGTTCTCTCTCTCTCCCCCCATCTCCATCTCCTCTCTCTCTCTCTCTTCCACTCTTTCTCTCAAAAACTCTTACCATTGCGGGAATGTCTCATCACAGCGAATGTGACGCTTTTTGCACGTCTTGCAGCCCTTGCGGGACTTGGTGTGACTGCGGCGCGAAGGCCCACCACCCGGACCGGCCATGGGGGACAGAGGGTAGAGGTAGTTCCGGAAAGCGGGTAGGGCGGCGGTGGTATATAAGTGCCTCGGTGGGAGGGCACGGGACAAGTTGGTGGGTGATCGTGGGGTGCCCCGCTATGACGGGTTTGCGAGCGAGCGAGCGAGAGGCGGCGTGATTTGGGCCAAGCGCAGCTTACTCAAGAGAAAAGCGAGAGTCTTTAAGTGATGTGCCTGCAGGTCGAGGGGGAGCAATGTAAGGCTGATGCGCGGTGGAGCCTGCGGGAGCCGAAACGAGACCGTTGCCAACCTAACGAATGTGACGGCGGGTGAGCCAAAGCGAGTGTTTGAGTGGAATCCCTGGATAGATGGAGCGGAGGGCGCGGCTGCCATGAGACTTTATGGCGCGCTGGCCATCGTGGGTGCCAATCTGATCAGAGTCGACAGTGAGCTGCCGAGCGCAGGGACTGGGCATGCATCAGTGGGCGGGATAAAAATAAAGTCAGCTACCTCAACCTTGCCTAGTCAGGTGTGTAAGGTTAAAATGCTCTCCGCCGTGCGGGCCAGCTTGGGCGGGAGCTTGTCAGGGCGGCCAGGGGACGTATGATCATGCTACCGATGTCATAGCAGCAGCAAGCTCCGTACGAGCCATAGCCTCGCTGCGGGCGGGGAGACCAAGCTCTTTCCCACCGCGCTGGCTGACGGGGGCTGCACGGTTAGATGCCACTGTCTGGTGACTCGCTCAGGGCAGTCAATCATTACGCCCCCCGGCCTTGGGCGGAGCTGTGCTGGGGCCCTATTTTTAGACTTGGCTTAAGCGAATCTTTGTGCTATGCAGATGCAGCGCACGCGACGCTGAGATCCGGGCAGGGTCCCAGTTGCGCTTGCCCCGATCCTCGTCCGGCCGGCGGGCGCTGGGCGAACGTGGCGGTCTGTCTGTCAGTCACACTCTGTCTGTGCCGGCCGAGAGAGTCGAGTCGAGAGAGATGATCGCTTTCACCACACGCGCGCCCCACACGCATTACCATGTCCATCCCTCGACCTGCGCGCAGTGGAGCCCGCGGTGAGGATGAAACCGTGAAGCTGAAGGCGAGCGGGCACAAGCGTCGGGACAGCATCGGCAAGGTGGCAGTGGCTGTGCTTCGCTGGCAGCAGAGTCGCACCCGCGTAAGGCTGACGATGACGTCCCAGCGTCGTATCAAACCGTCCCTTTATTGCCGGCTTCACCGATCCGCGCTGCTGGGCCGCCGATATTGCGGCGTGTCAGCGTGCGCGATGAAACAGAAATCCGCCTCCCCGGATCAACTGGCGGCCGAAATCCTCTGCCCTGGGTATTTTTAGCCCCCAGCAATGCCAGCCACAGCCCACCGTTTCAGCATCTCCCTCTTGTATATAGGCGAAAGCGTGGCCGCTCTACATGTATTAGGAAACTCCTCCTTCTACCGCGCGCGTTTCACACCCTCGTCAACGTGGTAAAAAGGACGTGAACAATCTCCCTGTCGCGCTAAGCCCGGTGCAGAAGGAGGTATCCGTCCTGTACAGTCTCGTCCCCGCATTGAATTTAAGCACTCGCTAACCGCGGTTGCAATCGCTTCTCTTGATCTTGACTAAGATGTGTGTGTGTCGGCCGACAATCAATCAATCGTTGACATGATGTCTAAGATTGCTGCCTACCTTACTTCCGCCGGGGGTCGGCGAGAGCTTAATTCAACACCGGCCGCACCTGCCAAAGAGCCTCACAGCAAGACCACCAAAGACACATTACCTAGCTCTATGCCACGACAGCGCACCAACCGCAAGACGCCAGTGCTTCGTCCCTGCCATTCACCAAATGCACGAAAATTTTTCTCACGCCTGTCTCAGGCAGACGATCTGGCAGGGCCTAGACCGCTCACCGTGAGTACAAGTTGGAGCTGCTGCCGGCGTGACTTGTGGATTGGCGGTATGATGTTGCTTGCAAACACCTGACTTCCAGAGCAATACTTGTCCTTTGGTCCAGCCAGGACTCCACAATGATTTCATTTCACACATTCTCTCTCTGAATCTAGCAGAATCGCCCGCGCCAGATAAAGCACAAAAAACTTAGAGCTTTCGTCGTCAAATCGCTCACTTTGGTGCGTTCTCTGCTGTGTGCAGGCAACCCAAATCCACTGAACCGCGTAATCTGCTCCTCACCCGTTTCCTTATTACAAGTCATCTGTTTAGCGTGCTCCGCGCCAGCTATCCGTCACAGCGCTCTCTCAATAGTTCGTCACAAGACTCGCAATCCGGTTTCGTCTAGAGCGCGCAGTGAGCGGCGCCGACGGTGATAGACGACCGATCGGCACCGAAGAACCACGACACAGCATAGGTTTGCTAGAAGGCCGGAGAAGCCGAGCGCGCCCCGCTCGGTCTGGACGAATCCGCTTCCACAGGGGGACGACTCGCTGCACCGCCACTCGGGGCGCCAAAACATGTGAGGGCACTTGAACCGCCCACGGGCATCGTCGGATTCGTCCCGCTGTCCGGTCTCAGATCAGTCCGACAAACACGACGCTTTGCGTGCTCTGGCATCGAAAATCAAGGCTTACGAAAAAGTTGGGTCTTTTGTTCCAAAAAAATTGCGAGACCAAGCGCCTGGAGCCTTCATACCGGACCCGGAAAAGCAGACATCACTTGGAGCGCCCCTATGTGCAGCTCGTCGCACGATCGGGCACGCTGCCAGTCAGTCTCCTACCAGGGTCAAGCCAGCTTCTGCGGAAAAAAAGACCTCACAAAGGAGGATCAACGCTCACCTTTCATCGATCATCGGGGGGAACGTGGCAGCACCGAGTCCAGTTGCATTGGACATGAGACGGCCACGATTTGACGGCCAGTCCTGCACGTCTCCCAAGCCCTAGCTCAGCGATATGCACGAGATCAGCAAAGAAAAAGGCAGGGAGCTGGATGGCGCGGACGATTTTAGGCCCACAGATTCTCCGGCCGGCGGGCTTTTGACAGGCCACCGATGCAGCTCACCCGGCGGCACTGCATTCCTTTCCCCAAGCGTGTCGATTCCCGGCTGTACCTGCCTGTGCACTTGGAAGCAGGGCTTGAATAAGCGGTTACCCGCGGGGCAGCCACGAAGCTCCATAGAACCCGAATCTAACACGCCAGGATCTCGGTCCATTCTCAACCCGAGAGGGCCCACGAACGGACATTGAAGCCTCCACAAGACCGCAGAGTCAGTTTCACATCACTGGGGCGCTGTGGCCCTTCAAAATGCCGGAGCTGTTGATCTTTCGAAGGGCCCAATGGCAGCTCCGCACCACCAAGGGCAGCGCGAGATGGCACAGAGTAGCGCCGGACGCCGCTGAGTTTGGCTCTGCTCACCGCGGTATCCCTCAGGAAAGCGCCGCCGTAACCGTGGCAAATGTTGACATCTCGCGGAGCTCTTGCTCTCCAAAACACACCGGCTTCGTATTGCGCACGGCTCCGCCACCCCCGGCCTCAGCTCCCTGCCATATTTAGCTCCCAATACGAGACACAGACACCAAACTTGATTTTTTTCCCCTTTTTCACAACGAACATGACGGTGGGAGCACCGTCTGTCGTCGACATACCCTACTGATGTCACTGTCTCGTCCGTCTTCAGAGATCAACCCTTTGTTCATTGAGGATTGTCGGCGTCGAAGCTGACTGATGCTGACTGAGTCCTAGGGCTTCAGCCCAACGGATTACCACGCGGTCGCTGTGGAACGTGCCAATGTTCACGCTTGCTGTCGTCAGTCTGCTAACCATGAGCTGATCCATGGCTATCCACAACCTCGGCAACGCCGACCCGACACTGACCGTCCTCTGCGCTGCTAGCCTGTCGTTCCTGGCCGGCGATGCCCTCACAAACCCATTGCTCCACCTCGGACCTCGTTTTCAACATCTGTACCTGCGTTTAGGGCGACATCTCTGTCCATCACCCCTAATCTAAGGGGCACAATACGCCCGGGGCGAAAGGCGCCCTTATTACAGGCACCGCCCACCTATAAGCAAGGCGTGCCCCTATATTCCACCGATCCGGCCACGCTCGGTACACAGTACACGCCTTCCTTGTCTAGCTATCACTCGTTTATTTTGGGAAGGTCTCTACAAGACCTTCCCTTCTTCTCTATCGGATGTCGATCCCGACGATGAGAGCTGGTCTCTGGAGATGGTGACGCTCTGGACAAATGCTACGCTATGCAAATGCGGATAGACAATAGGGCTTGACTTCCGGATAAGCTGGTTACGGCAAGTGCGTGTCGCTCTTTTCTCGCTGATGCTTTTCGCAGAGCCGGCTGCGAGCAAGTTCCGGGTTCCGCTTACGAGACTGGATCCGCCTTCATCGCTCTGTATGTGACTGATGAACGGGCGTCAAGCGGCAGCGGTTCCCTTTCCTACCTTCATCCGGAGACGCGCATGGGTTCCGATCAGCAACGGGAACACACTATAAAGGAAATTCAACTATAGAGCAAACTGCTCCCCTTCCCCACTTTCGGGAAAAAAGCGAGGGAACGAGCGTGCGGGCTCGTGGCAGCCCTGCTGTAGGGCGCAGCCACAAACACCAGGGCGGAAGCGGAAGCGGGACCCGGCACGAGGCAAGTTGGCAGTGCGGCTCCGCACTGAGCAGCCGGCAGTTTCGGAGCCGCCGACCTTGTTTGGAATTGGCCAGCAGCCAAACGCACGCGCCAGCTCTCGAGGCACCTTGACCACCATCGCTCACCGCGTAGCAGAACGTCATCCAAAAATGGAAACCCACCCATGCATGTCTGCAGCAGACCTTCGGAGAGGCCGTCTACACGTTTGCAGGGCAGATGAAACCGGGCAAGCTTGAGCAACGCGGACCCATATGCCGTTGACGTGGGCATCGCAGCCATGCTTGCACGAGAATAGGCGCAGCAGGTGGCGCCGGCATCGCCGCATTTGCCCGCAGTACCTCATCCCACGCGCCAGGATGCCTCATAGGTATGCGCTTTGCGGACAGGGACAGACAGGCGCCGCGATGAGGCGTCGGCGAGCTGGCCATGGCTATAGCGGAGACCGACCTGGCCTCCTTGGCGTGGGATGGACAGTCAGCTGCGTGGCATGGTGTGTCATGCTGTCAGGAGGACTTTCCTGAATTTGATGACGATGCTCTGACGATGTGCGGAGGAGGCTGGGCGCGCTGAGCGCGCGCGGCCCTGGCTAGATTTTCTTCTTTTTTCCTCTCGTCCGTTTGTCCGTCCGTCCTTCTGTCCGGTTTTTTCTTCCTTGGGGTCCGAGCGGCTGACGCGGAGCAAGTGCCCTGGTGATAGAGGGGAAGATGGAAGGGTTGCCTGACTACCTACTACCTAGGTATACTGTATCTTCCATTAGTATGCCAATCCATCTGTCCATCTTCCCTTTCTTGGTTGCGTCGTCCGGCTATACGCTGAGTTGCGCTGCTCTTGCTCTGCAATGCGGCTGTGTGTGTATGTGGGCGCGGGCGCCTGCGCGGACGCGTGTACACTGCAAGCCGCGGACGACGCCATCGGCGCAGTATGCGTCGCAGGTCCGGTGTCAGGTCTGTTTTTAGCCACGGCGCACCCCACATGCTTGTGTTAAGGCAAGCAGCCCTCCCCGCTTCTACTCCGCAGCCTCACTGCCTTTCTCCGAGTCTTTCTCCTGACTCTGCTGTCTGGTCGTGGCTGTCACTGCCTTCGAGGTCTCGAGGCCGGTGGCGCCACCCTTCTCCAGGCTTCTGAGCCCGCGAATGCGAATGCTGGCAGGACACTGTTGCTGCTGTCGTTACGGCATTGGCAAGCAGTGAAGCAGTCTACTTCTGCTGCGTACCACGAACTGATGAGCACCCGAAAGACGAAAGAAGAAGCCTCGTCCTCGTTGCGGATGGCGATGGCGACGGCGACGGCGAGCGCGCTGTCCCACGACATGGCGCTCGATCTCCCTCGATCTTCAAACGGACGAGCTACACGTGCGTATCTACGCTGTATAACCCCACACATCACTGCGATGGACAGAGAGGCATCGAAAGGGCACAGTTGCCACGCGGCTATCGGTGGCGGGCTTGGTGGTCGCGGTATACCGTTATGGTAGTCTGCACCCTAGCTTTTCTGTTGAAGGGCGGCGCTGACGGCAAAGGTGATAGTATAGGTTGAGAGGTAGGTAGGTAAGTAGGTACATAACATGTATGTACCAAGTCCCCAACTCCGATGGACCTGCTCTAACCATCGAACCCATCCTATCCCTCACCTATCTCTAGTGTCAGGCAAATCTCCTTCCGTTCATCCATACAGGGATAATGGCGTGCGATGAGATGCAGCAACGGCAGTCAAGTAGAGGTAGGCGAGGGCGGGTGAGAACGATAAGTGACGAAAGAGCATTTTGTCTTCTGAGCACAGTGGGAGGGAAGCTTCGGATGAGCATCGATCCACTGCCATGGACACAAGCACTAACAATCCCGGTTGTAGCGGACACCATTACCTCTTCATCGATCGCCCAGTACATCAACAGAAAAACACCGCCTAACAGCCAGCCACGCCACCACCATCAGCACCAACCCAAAATCTAAACCCAAAAACAACCCTGTTGGTAAAAGCAAAAAACAAATAAACAAAACAAGAGAGAGAATCGAACTCGCCTCATTGCTTCTCGTCCGAACAGAGTAAGCACCGCTCCGTTTTAGATATAGCATTCTTCAGTCAGAGCAGCGATTACGCCAGTCGGCCAGCCATCAGGTCGACGAGCTCGATTCGGTGGTTAGAGTCATGGAATGGGGTTATATAGATGGGTGTGTTAGGGGTGCTTCACACTGAATGATAAACTCACCCTCACACATGTACATTCACATATACACGCATTCGCCGACGACTGTACCGGAAAAGTACCACACCCCGCACAACCCGTTCAAGATGATGTCGCAAAACGCCATTGTCTCTAACGCTTCCCTCCCCTACATAACCACAAACCACAAACACAGACAACCACAACCCCGCTCAACAAATCACCTGCAACATCACCGTCACCACCGCAGCCGCTGATGCTGACAGTGACAGCACCAGTGACCCCAACTGTCTATTCTTTATGCACCTTCCAGCCCACCATTCCAAGTTCCATCCCCCATCCACACCACCACCACCATAAAA